AGTGGGAGGTGTCCCTGCTCATGGCAGAGGGGTTGCAACTGGGTGATCCTTGTGGTCCCTTCCAACTCTGATAGATTCTGATTCTGTTTTAGCATAGGACTTCGTAGTGTTGGCTTAATGGTTGGACTTGATGATCTTAAAGGTCTCTTCCAACCTAAAGGATTCTATGATTCTATGATTTGCTATCCACGAGCTGATTACATCAACCCAGATACTCTGGAAATTTCTACATAGACAGCAACATCTGCTCCAACTACTGCTCCTTCCCCAGTACTTCCTGTAGCACAATTCATATCTTTTCAAAAACTTTTGAGCTCAGATGAGGCTTTGGGAGATCTTACAGATTTCCAATAAATAAAGGCTACCAGAGAGCAAGAGAGGAGAGACAAATTCATGTTGTCTGGACCTTCCTATTTAGGAGAGTTTTGTCCCTGTAAGATGCTGTTGGCAGCATCATGTATTCCTCTACTGCTCTCTGTGTGGAAATGTTCAAGTAACTCCCGTACAATAATTCTGCCACACACACATCCAGGGCTTAAAGTGGTGAAGCTGGAGTGTGAAGTGTGCAACTGGCCTAAATTCACAAATGGAATTGCTGGCAAAGCCAGGAACAGGACCCCTTTTATCAAAGGTTTCAATAATATGGAACGAGCAATGGGAAATGCAAAGCTGCAGCACTGTTGCTCACGTTGAGTGTTATTTATCCACTGATTAGGAGCTGTCTTGTCCCACCCAGACTCTCAAGCTGTTTGCCACAAGAACCATTCACAGCCTTCTTTACCACAGTTAAAAGGAAACCCTGTCCCAAAAGACTTTGAATGGCAGGATAAAAAAATTAAACAGCTCATTTCCCAGGAACTCACCTTCCACTACAGACATGACAGGGAGATCCACTTCACCATTGATCACTTGCCCCTCTATTATTTTTTTATAGGAGTTTATCACACGGGATAGATTGTCACTGGCCTGCAGAATATCCCCTACATGCAAGAGACAAAAACAACCTCCAAGACTTTAGTGACTTTGCTCCCACTAATGCTGTGAGTACTCAGTTATCAACTAATCAGCAAGAAAAAAGTAATTATTTGCTATGAGCTCCACTTCTCTGTCTTTGCCATGCCTCTCTAAGCGCTTAAACACCTTAACCCTTCTAGCTTCATGCATGTTACACTGACAATGAAAAAACGAGTCCCAGGCTTTGTTCCCCACAGCAACTTCCCTCCCTTTCCAAAGCCACATCTATCCCCCATTATCACCCCAGCCTCTCTAACCACCAACTCTGCTGTCAAGTCGTTGCCTGAATTTAAATGATAAGCATAAACAGGCAAGGATTTTGTCTTTTATCTGCTTGCTCAAAGCAAAGTGCATCCACAGTGAGGCGGTGTCTTTGAAGCAGCTCTTCCCTTGCTGAGCCCTTGCACAGTCCCAGGTCACAAAAGCAATTAAAAAAGAAGTGGAGCTTTGTTTACCCAAACTGCTGTCATTATCCTCTGTCTCACTGGCCAGCTTAAATAACGTCCGTCTTTTGGTCTCACACCTTTCATAGAGCTCCTAGGAAGACAGATTAAGACACAGGGTTTCATCACCCAGGAGCCACTGTCAGCAATACCATTCAGCACAGAATGACTCCCAGGCACACACTGGAAAGCCCAGAATAAACCAGTCTCCCTGTGCTGAACATACCAGCGTGGCTGGACAACCAAGATCCCCTGCCCTAGAACAGAGCTGTGAAGAGTTACACTTGCCTGGGAGTCTGAACACAACCTGCACTTCCAATACATCTCCCAGTTCTCCCTCACATCAGCACCTGGGGCCAGCCCTGGTCCAAAGAGACTTTCATTCCTTGTATAGCCCTAGTTCTGAAAAGCCCAAAGAAGAGCAGAACCGTGCTTCAACAATTATGCTTCAGTTGTGCTGCAGACACAGCTCAGAGTCTGCAACCACAGAGAGGAAAGGTGGCAAGAAGGAAATGTTTCACAGAAACAAGCCAGTTTCTTAATCTTCTTACCACTGTTTCAGGAGCTTGTAGTTAAAAATTAATAGTTTTAACTTTTTTAGTTTGATAAGGTGCAACTCTTCAAGGCCCTGAGGCTACCCAAGAATCCCTGGTGGCTCTTCTGATTTCTACCTTCTTGATGTTCTCCCAGCCTTAAAACACTCACTAATATTCTTCCTTTGAAGGGGAGGACATATTTTCTGTCCCAGTCAGCCTTTATTTTACCCATCCAAGAGCTGCAAGGGACAGTTACGATTTTCAGTCAGTGTACCCTAACAGGAGCAAGAGTTAAAAGCTGCGGCTTCTTGATTCGGCCACGCTGCAACTCTGGGGAACAGCCATACCTCACTTCAGCCACAGGCAAAATTGAGCTATTACCCACTCAGACCTTTGGTGAAAGGCATTAAAAACACGGTTGTTTTATTTCCTGTTGTCTCCAACAACTGCCCATTTCTCACCATTGCCTTCCATTTTACTGCACTGTTTGTAATTCTCTGCAACACTCAAGCCTGGGAGAAGAACGGACTGACTGCAGGATTTCTGGGAAGAAGGAGCTGCTCAGACCCACCTTCATGAGCTCCCTATCAGCCTCTGATGACTCCTCTTTGCTGTAATGAACCAACATCTCATTCAGCAGCTTCACGTTGTTATTCACTTCCTCCAGCGTGTGCATCCGTTTGGTCACTTTTTGAATCCGAGCTTCATCCTTCAGGGTGCAAAACACAGACAAAAAGTGAATTTCCCTGTAAAAGTGCAAAGTATCACAACTGCAGGTGTTAGCTGTAAATCATGTCAAGCAATATCTACTTCAGATTAAGCTAGTAAAAATCCCCAAACCTCTCCATTCATGTGAATCTTTGCTTATCTTCTTTTCACCATCATTCTGAAATGATAGATACCCACATATTTCCAAAAAGCCTCATTAAATAGACTTTAATGTATAATCATATCACTAACTAGGGTTGTTTTCTGACCTCTTCAGAAGACATTTTTTGTTTTGGGTCATGCCACTTTACAAAAAAGATGTATTTGAAACAAAACATTTACGAGGATTAACAAGCACTCTCCCTACAAAATGTCCACCCATCTCTGCTTTGAGATCCCAACTAAAGATGTAGGAGAGTCTGCCCTGGGTACAAGAGAAGCTTTAATGGAAACATTTCATAACCTAAACCTCTCCTCTTCAGACTAGGAGCTATCATTTTTTTTGGCCAGAATCACAGTGAGTCATTTCCTGGACTCCAGGATTTCTCATGACTGCCATGGGTGGATATATCACATCTCTACAAACAGGACCGTGTTCCCATGATGCTGGTTTTGAGAAGACCCTGTTCAATAACTCAGTCCTCAGCCTCCAGAAGTGGTACTGCAATGCTCCCACCAAGCCCTGACGTGAAATATCACCTTGAGTGATGAGAACTTGTAGTTAACTACAAGGGGCATTCAATCCTTGACCTGTCCTCCACCAGAAACACCAGCTGTAGACATTTCTGTGATGCAAAAATCTCCCAGTTGCAAGCTAGAGTCAAAATCACAACACATTCATATCACAGAGCCCTACTAAGCTGTCAGACAGCACCCCCTTTATCCTGGTAATGATGGGGACTAGATGCAAGTTAGCACTGTTAGAGGTTTTAAAAAATAATAAAAGGCTGGATGTTGCTGATGACCAGTCTCATTCAGTTCCCACAGCTTAACCAAGGGAATTACTAACACAATGTTCCCAGAGCCTGACAAACCCAAGTTCTGCCATTCACATGATCCTAGAGCTCTCCATCATTTTGAAGTCAAATTGCTTAAAACCTGGAAAGCAGACTGCTGACTGGGAGTAATCTTACAGGAATTTCTTACCTCTTTTACCATAGATTTTATAAGCTTGTTGGCCTCTTGTAAGTCATCTGGGTTTTTACTTTTCAGCAGTTTGGCTAGAAGCTGTAAGATGAGAAGAGGATCTTCAGGAAACAAATAAAGACCCTTTGCCAAAGGGAAGCAGTGACAGAAACAATTCAGGGGAAGAGATAGAGCCCACTATTGTAAAGCTCACACCACCTTCACAGTTACAGTGACTTCAGCAGGATATTATTTTATGTGAGTTGCAGCATTCTTGCTTCTAGATGGGACATACAGTGTGAAATCTCAGAGACTTCTGACACTAGATAGTTCCTCCCATATGTCATTTTTGGTCCTGTGTGAGAAACATTCTTTGCCTTCTAATACTACAGCAGGATGGCACTTTAATCAGGAATAACCTTGTAAAGGTAACACAGGCCAGACCTTAACTGGAACTTCAGGTTAGGCAGGTGGACAAAGCAATGAGTTCTGTGGAAATACACAGCACAACTCCAAAAATAAAAGCCAAATTAGTATGCTACTTTGTTCTACATGCACACTGAGTAATCACTAACGAAAAGTGATTATGATACAAATCTTCACTGTACCTTGGATTTCTCCTCATCATCAAACACGGGGTTTTTGGGACGAGGTGGTGGAGAAGGAATCAGGGTTCTGTCTGCAGGAATCACAGGGTCAAACATAACGATCCCTGAAAGCAGAGAGGGAACCCCGTGGGTTTGCACACACAGTCACACTGGGCAGCACACCCAGGTACCCACATGCTGCTGTCAAAGCCAACACAGTCACTCTCAGTGGCACAGGAGCAGAATCACTGAGCACACTAGCTGGAAAAACAACAGGTTTTCTTTGATAAAGACTAAAATGCCATCAAATGCATTCTGTGTCCATATTGCTCCTCTAATAGCACAGTGTAACCAACAGCTCTCCATCATTTGTCTCTCTCCCTTCATCTGAGCTGTTGAACCAGTAAGAGAAGCCCCACATGACCCAGCTTTGTGCAAACTCAAGGGCACGACGTTTGTTTGTAGAAATGAGCTGAGCAGGAAAGCAGAGAGCAATGCACAATGGGGTGAGGAGCAGACTCTGAACCACGAGTGGGGAAAGAGCTAAGTTCCCTCCTTGGTCCATTGTCAGATCCTTAGATTTGGGCTCTACCTCAAGAGCTCCCCTGGAACCAACTTTTCTTGTGTGGAAGCTGCATGCTTCTCAGCTGAGCTTTTTTCACTGTGCCTACACAAGAAATCTGCATTAGTTAAACTAAAAGTACAATTGTAAAGCGACCTAGTTAAGAAGACAAAAGGCTACATGGAGGCTCTTATTTCACTTTGAATTAGACTTGTTCAAATCATTTAATAACTAGTTCCAGAGAAACTCAAAAAAAAGCCCTGTAAACACAAAGTACTTGCAAGATATTTAATTAATCTAGTGAAAAAAGCCAACCCAATCCAGCCCAAGGCATTTAAATATAACGAGAAGCTTTTCAGGGAATTTCTCCCTCGTTCTGTCTCCCCTCAGAGCTTGCCTTGACCCTATGTAATTAGAAGCTGTGTATTTTGAGCCACTCCTGCTTAAAGCACAGGCTGGAGAGAATGCATGAACGAGCAGCTGACTCCCTACCTTGTCGCTTCAGCATGTAGTAGGCATCCTTGATTTTGGATTCTTCTGGCAGTGCCACTGTCCAGCTATACAGCAATTCAATGACTTTGGTCTTCACCTTCTCAGAGACTCGGTCTCCCAGGTACTAAGGGTGAAAACAAGAGTAAATTCTCCCCATTCTTCATTTCTTTTAAAAATATAAAACCCAAACACACAGAATGGAAGTTCAAAGATATGCATTAAAAGATGTATAATCTAAGTTCCAAGATGATCTAAGATAGATCCTCTTAAGAGGAAAAAATGCTTCTCTAATATATTTGAAACAACGGTGAAGAGAACCTTTGTGATTATCTTCAGCAAAAGAAACAACAGCTATTCTGTTGGTTCCAGGATTTTGCTATTTAAAAATCACAGCAGCACAGATAACCACCCCCTCCCCTGTCTTAGGGGAAAAAATCTGGGAATACTTTGCTCCATCAATCATGCCTCTGTCTGCTTTTCACCAGGTTAAACTTATCATGATTCTGTGATTCTAGGACTGTTGAGGGACTTAGCCAGGCACTCTTCACACAGCAAGCTGGCAGCAGAATAAGGGCTAGAATTCTATGGTGTTCTAACTCAGTGTCACACCACTCTTGCACTGATGCTGGAGTTGTCTGGGGGGTTTTGGGGTGTTTTTTTGGTTTGTTTTTAAAACACAGCCCAAGCTTTAGGAGCCCTTGAGTTACATGAAGGATTAGAACAGTACAGAGACTATATACTGATGGTTAGTAAGTACAACTTACTGAGAACAATACTAAGCAGAGCATTTAAAAAACCCCAGACCTTAGTTAACAAACACTCTTGAACACAGGCTAATAAATGCAATGAGCCAGACAGAACTCTGCAAACATTTTGGATGTTGTCTATAGCTTATGGAGGCCAAACAAGAAGTAAATACAGCCATAAGGCTCAGGGACTAACCTTTGGAGACACAACTTTTATTAACTCGTTTAAAAAACGAAACTTCCCTACTTCGTTATGAAATCTTCTCCCACAATTCTTCATACAAGCTTCCAGCACCTGCATTCAAGTAACAAAAACGGGCTGAAATGAACACCAAAACTCCTCAGTAACAGTGTAGTTGTGTTCTGCTTATAGAGGGACTGAAGGACCCATGTCAGTGAGACCCGTGGTCCTGCTCCATGATACAGGCACCAACCGCCCATCCTTAGGGGGAGACAGGCTGGTCCCCCACCCTCAGTCATCTACATATGGGTCTATCTCACCATTAGGTGTGGTACCAATGAACACAAATCTTGCCTGAAGGTAACAAAAGCAGCTGAAACCAAACCAGAGTTATTTCTGACTGCTTTAGGAGCAATCTGGATGCTTCTGTTACCTAACTGTGGTCGCCCTCGCTGTCTGCTCCCCCAGCAGAGGGGAGTCAGGGCATTCAGGCCCAGAACTAGCCCAAGTCATCCCCCCTGACACACACTGTGCCCCCTGACACTCTGCACAGATGATGTAAAATGATATATAACTGGGTTTAAGAGGAGGGGTAAGAGCTACCTACTGTCAAGGCTTGGACTGCCTCCCATTCCTGTGGTGACTGGATTTTATGAGCCAGGAGCCTCACAGCTATCTGTGGCCTGAAACAAAGCAGATCCCGGTTACAACCAGAGCAGAAGCACTGCAAAGGGTTTCCAGACTTTCACAAATTCTGCTGTTTAAACAAGATGCATTTCACATAATGAAAAGGAAAGGCCATTTAGTAGTTTTTGTCTCTCCCTCAGTGTACAAAGGCTAAGGAGAGATGTCCAGGGCACCCTCGTAAGCCGGGGTGTTGTGTACATGGAAAAGGAAGCGAGGGCTGGTACTCTGAGCCAGCAACTCCAGATTCCTGCTTGGGAGGGGCCAAACAACTCCCAGCACTGTCCCCAGCCCAGGAAATCACCTCATTTCTCTTGCATTAGCTGCCTTTTTCCAGAAGAAAACACTTTTTCCTTAGCTTACAGGGATGCTGTGACCCATGAGGCTTCCTCAGCTAAGCCCTGTGAAGACTTTAAAGACACAAAGCCTTGTCAGGCAGTAGGAGTTACAGCCCCATTTTACAGACTGGCAGAAAGTAAGTTTGGCTCTGTGAGAGCCCTGCAGCTGCAGAAGCTGACATTAGAGGTGGATGCAAAATTCCCTTTCTTCATGCTCAGCCTGTATGAGCCTTGCTGCCTCTCACAAAAGAGAAACCACTCTTGGCAGCATCTTCTTTCTTTTGTAGACAGAGCTTCCCTGAACTATCATTATCTATAAAAGAAACTATGAGAGCTTGATGATGGAATTATGTATTTTAAACTCTGAATTTTAATTTATTAAATCTAGAGCAGTTTGGGACACCCACCCTTCAAGTTCTTTGTTGATCTGGTCACAGAATCCAATGATGTATTCCCAGTCTTCTTGCCTGTTGGACGGGTTTGTGGCTTTATCTTTGGTAGGGGAAAGAGAACATGTTACGAATTAAGCAAAAGAAACAGTATAAAAGGTCACACATTTCCTAGAGAAAAGCATTTGACATCCATTGTCAACCCTAAAAAAAGATCACACATAGTATGTCTGTTCAGGGAAAAGGGTGTGTCCAAGTGGAGACATCCAAATAGCCAGCACAAATCACTGCTTTCCAAAAAAAACAGGTGCCAAACCTCATTTACTTACAAACAACCTATTTCCATGCTCTAAATGAGAGTACAAGATAAAACAATTGAGCTCACACAGCTTCCCTCTGCCTGAAACAGAATTTCTTCCTATTTGACTATAATATTAAACTCCTTAAACGCCAAACCCTCACACTTTCTACACAGGAAACTATTTTAGTATTCCCTTGGAGTTTTGTAGAAGTAAGAGCTGGAACATCAGATGTTTAACAGAAGTCACTTAGCATCAACACTTGTTTTTAGAGTGCCAGCTGATTTGCTAGATGCCTTAGCATTTCTCCTGGGAATTACAAACTGAAATTTATTATTATACATTGAGTTGCAAGTAATAAACACCCCAGCCTGTACCTGATCAGGGATTCAAAACCTGTACCTTCCAACTGAGAGAATGATGCTCTACTGACTGGGCAATTTCAGGCTCCTGAAGGATCCTCCCTTGGGAGCCAAGTGCTCCCTTATTGTGCTGATTGCAGAACAGTGAGGCTATCAGCATCTTTTTGGGTTAGGAATGCATCTCCTCCATGTATTCTACTTAACTCTGATCGAGCACTAAATTTACAGCAGACAAGATTCTTGTTTTAACTTAATTTTCCAGCCAAGATGACTGCACAAAATGATTTTCCTCTCTTGGAAGGGAAGAAACAACACACTGTAGCTATACGTCTAATGGCTGGTGTTTAAAAAGCATTCCTCAAAATTTTAATAGAATGGAAGAGATTCAGGAAAGAAAATATTGCTTATCCAGGTAGTATAGAGCAGGAGATGAAGGGCAGGAAAAAAACCAGCACACATCCCTGTACTTTCATCTCAGAGGGAAGCATAAAGAAGTAAACACATGCTATGCTACAAAGTGCCATTTTTTACCATCATTAAAACATATCCTTTTACCTTTCCACAGGCAGATGAAAACAGCTGTCAAACATCTACTCCGACACCTCAGTTTCACAGCATACCTTCACCCCCTACCGTGGCAGCCCTACAGGGTTTGCTCGTATTTTCCCCCTCTTGGAAGGGCAGCTGTAAAGCAATCTGGTAAATTGTTCCATGGGCTGCATCTGCAGAGGTGAATCTGTGCCCACTGCTGGCTTTCATGGGACCCTGGATAAACAAAAGGTGGCAGCCAGGGAGGACTAACTGCAGATCACATCTCGCTGTACTAGCTAAGCTACCAAGGTATTTTTAAACTCAAGAGATTCTCGGGAGGCTTAGTTTAAAAGACAGCTGCTGCAGAGCCGAGTAAGCATTCAAGACATGCAGCACTTAAACCTTATTACCACTCTCACAACTGCTGAGCACCCTGGAAGCATGGTGAATCTGTGGCCTTAGAACAGCCTGAAGTCTCTCCATGCGAGTCAAACGACAAGGCGCACGGCTCGGCTGCGCTGCGGGCCCAGATGAAAGACAGACAGTTCTTGGCTGGAGTTCATGGAATTTATTCAATAAATGCAGGAAGAGCACAAACAAGTAAAGACACTCAACTAAATGAACTCTCTGTTGGTTGCATGTCCTGAAATTTGGAAGAAGATGTGGTACAAACAAGAAAATGTAGACAATGTTTCTGTATCCCAAGCGCTAATTTTAAAGCTGTTTCAAACACCTCCAATGATTTCTTGGAATGATGCTGGATTATTTCACGCTCTTCAACTGGGTTCCGACTCGTCTCAGCTTTTTCACCAAAAGCTCTCACATAAAGATAGTGAATTCTCAGAAGGAGAGAGAGATTACTGAAGGGAAGTAATGTTCCACATGAAGAAACGCCCTATTTCTGGCATGCATAAAATCTGCATGTGAAACTCTAGTTCATAAAAGTTGATCAGCCTGATCAGAAGAGCTGCCCTGGCTCTGGAGACTGATGTGTTTGCCTGCACAGCACCAGGCTGTGCACAGATCCTTGTTCCACAAGTACACACAGGAACACAGCACAGCCACAGTACAGCCACAGGAACACAGCATCCCCGGCAGGCTAAATTACCTTGCTCAACCTTTTCAGGACATCCCTACATGAAGCTGCATCACATCTATCAAGGCATAACTTAAACCCCTCTATTTTTATGCAGAATGCTTAAAATGTGGGCAGGGAGCTCCTCTGCTCTGCCTTACAAATATGCTTCAACCCTTATATGAAAGGATTCACTCCAGGAAGGAGAGTTTGGAGCTCTGGAATATCAAATCCTTGGCTTCTCTGTGGAAACTGCCAACAAAGGCCAATTTGGCACCAGTTATAAACTTTGCTTTCAGAAATTTTTGCCCACCAGGTCCCATCCTGAAAATGTCACTTCACGTTGGCAACCAAGTGAATCTGAATTAGCAACCTGGGAACAAAAGCCTCAGCACTGCCCCAGTCCTGCCACCACCTCTGCCTCGGCTTTTAGACACTGCTGTGCTGAGGACCTGCAGAGTTGCTTCACACCCGACCTAAGCACCCAAGCCATCCAGTCCTCAGCTGCTCTGCCAGACCCCAAAATGCTCAGGAGTCAGCATGCAGAAGCATCATTAGACATGAAACAACAGTGCTTATTTTCTCTATGGAGAAACAACACTGGAATGCAGAGAACCACAGACCATTAACTGACTGGTGATGAATGCTCCTATTTTGCTGGGTTTACTTCTGGACTGAAGTAAGACAAAAGCCATCCCAACAAAGGGTTTCCCCGGGTCAGGCTTAGCACAGGAATTGGGAATCCCTAGCCCAAGCGTGGGGAGTTTAACAGTTGGATTCTGGGGAGAAGGAGGATGCTGACCCATGACAAAGCAAGGAAAAAAGAGATGAAGATAATAAAAATATTTAATCCATCTGCATCTATTACACAGTTGGATGTCACCTGAACCTGACAGGACTGGGATACAATAAGCTTCCTCTGGGACTCAGCAGAAAAGGCAGTGCTGAAGTCAAAGTGTTTGTGCAACTGACATTATTTTCTAACCTCCGCTTCTACTTCAGCTAAGTGCTGAAAAGAAGCCTGCTGGCAGAGGGAGAGCAGAAAGGATCACCTTCCTGCAGCCCAGCTGCCCGAGAGCAGGAGACAGGAAGATGCCAGATCATCGCCTGCTTAAGTGCAGCTCCTGCTGCAGCATCAGGACACAAGGATGATGTTACCTCATGGGTCTACGACTCCACCTGATGACAGCAAGGGAGCGGCGTGGAAAGCTGCGTCCCACCGGTGCAGGAAAAATCACCAGCAGGAGGAAATTTTCCATCTTGTGGCTGGGAAGTTGGCTGTGCTGCTGAGCAAGGCTGGCCCTTCCCTCCCCTCCCCTCCAGAGCACATCTCCAAGGTTAGCCTCAGCCCCGGCACAGCTCTACGATGGTTACAGGAAAGCAGCCCTCAGGAGGCCAGGCGAAAGCACTCGGATGCAGCAGCCTCTGCACGCTGATTTAGTGCAGTCAGAGCTCCCCGCTCACGGGGGCAGCCGTGCAGCCACACCAGCACAAACCTCTGTAGCAGTGACCTGGCACAAATGCATCCTCTTAAACGAGGGAGCAGCGTTCTAGCTGTGAAATATGTGTGCACCTCTGCAAACAGGCTCACTGCAATACTTCCCACAGTGAGTAAGGCCTCTGCAACACCACCCTTCAGCATACGTCCCCCAGTGCAGAGTACCCGACTGCTTGGCCAAGGAGAGAGAGCTTCTCTCTTTACTTCCACCACTAAACAAAACCCCACAAAACAGTCAGGAAGCCTTCCGGGCTCGACAACCTAAAATATCCTTTCTACTATAGGTATTTTCATACACAAACTGAACTTGGTGAGTCAGTTCTCCTCAGCGAAAGATTAAAAGGAAGAGATGTGGGTGTTTCCTCATGAGTCTCATGGCTACACTAAGAGACACTGACAAACTGTGGGAGTTCAGAGGAGGAGCAGAAATGGTAAAGGGGACAGAAGGGGGGATTGAATTAAAATGAGAAGTAAGAGCTGAAAACATAATTTAGCCAGTACCTCCTATAAGAGATGATGATATCATGTACACAATGGAATTTTATATAAAAATACCAGGAAAGAACAAGGATTATTTAATCTTTGTTATGGAAGGATAACCAACGGGTTTATACTCTAAGGAATTTAGGGTAATGACCATCTTCTACTGTTTGCCTACCGCCTAACTACTTGGGAACTTCACTCACTGCTGTAATCAAACAAAATAACTATTAAAAAAAGAAAACCCAGGCAACAACCTAGCAATGTGCAGCATAGCCTCCCAGTGACAGCAGCAGGAGCCCTTGCACATGGAATATACAAAAAACAATTACAGTTACAGCCAATTCATTCAAGAATCGCCTCCTGATCCGTCAGCGCTGGGTCAGAATCCTGCAGCACCAGCTTCTGTACAGCCCACAGCCCAAAGACCAGCCGACCCATGGGAAGCACAGACACACCATGCTTGTGTCAGCAAGGGCTGTGGGTGAACAAACCATGGAGGTTTTCTTTTCTCCTCCATCTCTAATGCTTAGGATTCTGTGATAAAAAATATCTTGACAAAGGATTTTTAGACATTCCAGTCTGTATGGAGCGGACATCCCTAACTCCTACCCTGAAACTGCAGCGAGACATACGTCTGCTTGAAACACAAGGTTGTATAGCACATTAATACAATTTATTTGGAAAATCCCTACAGTTCTCAACCTCACAAACAGCACTGAAGCTGCACGTTTAGCTAACCAAAATCCAGGCGAGGGAAGAATTAACACCAGGGACAGACACGCACTTTGATGAACCTTTACGGTCAAAAAAAAGCAACAGCCTTGCAGGTGCCGAGCAAGGTGAGCTCCGAACCTGCCCTCTCCTCACACCTCCCTGCAAACAAACCGATTAACGGGCC